GTAAAGTGCGACGTTCATTTGTGATGAGAACGTTATCTGGGTTGTAAATTTCCTGCTTGGTGGTGCCCTAAATCCCTGTCAGGGTGTGGAATATTCAGAAGAAGTGGAAGTTCCGTGTGGAGATGTTATTTGTTCGGTGCAGGTAAGACGGCTTAGCTTTGGAAACTTGTTAAAGAGTTTTACCACGTTGCTTTCATGCAGCTGTTAAAATCGAGAGTTGAAAGCCCTTGTCAATCAAAGATGTAAACTTAGCCCTTTAGTCCGTTGATTACAATTACTTTCATTGACCTGAATAATATCAATCAATAGTACTAGTCTCCTAACTAGGTGCTTGTGTATAATAAAGTCAATATCCTGGCTTTCAGACAATTTTTTGGTGACTGCTCATGGCCCATATTTTGTGTAATAGGTTTTATTTCACTGTTAGTCTGTCATGTGGTTTTTGCCTTGGATTTTACTTTATTATTCCCATCCCAACTTTCTTTCTGGTACATCTTTGTCCTTTCATTTTTTATCTGCTGTCTTTTTGTTTTAGATGCATCTTTAACAGCGTATAGTTAAATTTTGCTTTTGACCTAATCTGTGAACCTTCTTTATCCAATAAAGCAATTGTATCCCTTTCGCACTTCTTACAGAAACTGATGATTTTTTTCTTCAATTTAATAATGTTATGTAAATGCTTTTTAATTATTCCTTGCTATTTCCTTTCTTTTTTCGAGTTGCAATGTTGATCAAGTTTTTTTAAAATATGCTTTTATTGATTTGAGAGAGAGAGGAAGGGAAAGGGGGAGAGAGAGATAGAAACATCAATGAGAGAGAAACATTGTTTGGCTGCCTCCTGCACGCCCCCTACTGAGGATAGAGCCTGCAACCCTAGCATGTGCCCTGAATGGGAGTTGAACCAGTGACCTCTTGATGCATGGTCCACACTCAACCACTGAGCCACACAGGCCGGGCGGTCACGTTTTATTTATTTCCTTTTTACTAAATATTATAAACTTATACATTCTTTTTAATTCTAATAATGGTTACTCTTAAATGTTTAAACTGATCTCTCTTAATACCAAGAACAAATCAGATTTACTTACATCCTCCTATGAATAATGACAAAATTAATGTTTTTTTCCTCTTCCTATACCTTCCTACATTTTCAGACAGAAGGAGCACCTTTTTTAAAAAGTATTTAAACCTGAATGTTATTTTCCTGTGTAGATAACTTATTTTCTATGCCTAGATACTTGAAGATTTCTTTCCCTGTATTCTAGAAACTCGAAACTTTCTCTGGGCTACATCTCCATGTGATTCTCTGTTAATTAAATTGGGCTGGTACCTGTGGCTCCTATCTAAAGACTCAAATCTTTGACATTGAGAAATTTCATTCAACTCTTCTTTGATTTTCTGCAGTATCTATTCTGTCCCTTACTGCTTCCATTGTATTGTCAATTTGTCATGTTTATGTTTCAGAATTACTTCACCTCCTAATATTGGTCTGTTTCACCCTTGTTTCGTAGATGAGAATGCAAAGTCGGGATTTTCTTTTCTGGTTCTCTCTGCTTTCTTGCACTTACTCCATGGCAAAGGAGGGCCTCTGCTCCGAATCCTAGAGTAGCCTCTTGCTTCCGAACGGCCCAGATGTGTTCACTGATGGGTCCTCCTGACTGAGGAAGCTCTGAGAATTGAGGTCAAAGTTATCCTCAGAGAGTCCCAAATCTTCAAGGCCAAAGAGGAAGTAGTCTTGGATTTATCATAGCATCGAGAGCCCATAGATTGTGAGAAATAAGGCGACTAATAGGTAAAAGCCTTGATAAGGAGTTTCACTTCTGTTCAGAGAAATATTTGCATGTTGTGGCTGTTCAGAGATAACTGAGGAAGTGACCCCTTCCCTAACCAGTGTATTTCCACACAATACCTCCCCATCCCATGGTGCAAGCATGAAGTTTTCAGATATTGCTATCACATCCTCTTTTTGATTTGAGTATAAAAACCCGTAAAGCAGAGGGGTTTTGCTTATTTATCTTTTTACACCCTGAGTTGCTGCTTTTTGATCCTCACCACACTTTTCTAAGGTAGACCAGGCATCTGGCGTGATCTTTATTTTGCAGAAAAGGAGAGAGGTGCCCAGGAAGTTAAATGACTCATTCAGGATCACCTGGCTGAATTGGGGTTAACATCCAGGTTATGCCCAGCTGGTGTGGCTCAGTGGTTGAGCGTTCACCTATGAACCAAGAGGTCAGGTTCGATTCCCAGTCAGGGACCATGCCCAGGTGGCAGGCTCGATCCCCAGTGAGGGGTGTGCAGGAGGCAGCCAATCAATGATTCTCATCTTTGATGTTTCTATGTCTCTCTCCCTCTCCCTTCCTCTCTCTGAAACCAATAAAAACATTTTTTTTTAATCCAAGTCATCCCTTACTCCACTGCTTTTCCCCACTTTCCATCCTGTCTCCCAGAACAAAAGGAGACATTGTAGATGCTGTTTGTCCTGCCTTGGTGATGGCAGGGGCTTCATCTTTATTTGTGTAACAGGAGATATGAGGTGCTGTTTTTTCCTCTGGCCTGAGCCAACACATTAAGAATTCCCGTGGACAGCGGTCTAAAGCCACCCAGACAGGCTGGCATAGGGAAGTCCACACTCCGAGGTGGGAGGGTGGCTGGGATAAGAATCAGCAGCTCCTCCCCGCTGGCCCAGACAGCGCCTCGGCGGGGACCCTCTCTCTGGATGCCCTTGGCGTTCACTGCTGACTGTCCTTGAACCCCTGCAGCTGATGCTCCTGGGACATGCTGGCAGGGCTACTGCTGTTAGAATTCTCATTTTATTAAACTTTAATCAAGCTCTCCAGCGAAGTGCCACGTAAATTCAATTTTGAATTTTGTATATGAGATAATCAAATGAGAGTGAAGCACCACCGACATAAAATGTTTTTTAAAATGAAAATTATACTTTTAATTTAATCACCTAAAAATCAGCTGGATGGGATACATCTAAGTGACAGAAAGATTGATTTATTCTCTTGCCAGTGGCCTCAGAAAGCCCAGGATCTACATAGATTTGTGCACTGACTTCTAACTCCTTGAATATTTTCTCTTCTTTCCATTAAGCACTAACCCTGGTATTCTTTAAAAACAATTAAAAAGCTCACCTCCTATGAAAATGTATTCACTTGGTGTTTAGGAATACTTACTTATACAGCTTATCAGCTAACCTCATTGTGCCTCAGTTTCCTTATCTGTAAAGTGTGGGCTTGGAACTCAGTGGCCTTCCAAATGTGTGAACTGTTAACGTTGTTTGATATTCGTCTTTTCCACTGGGTTATGAATCCCCCTAGATCAGGGGCTATACCTTCAGCCTCTTAAGGTACCCCCGCCTCCCCCGTCCCCGGCAGCCTGGCCCTCTGCATTGCCCCCAGCGGGTACCCTGACAGTGCTGATTGCCAAACAAAGCTGACAGCACCTGTCGCGGCCAGGAGGTGGCACTTTGGTATTTTCTGCAATTGAAGAACAAACCACAGAATGAGAAATCACTCTGGTTTTTGCTTTGCTGACCAAAATAGAATATCTAGGAGTCAAACAATCAGGGATCTATGTTTTTTATACTTACACGTAATAAATAAGGTTGGCTTTTGGTAGTGGTGACGGTATACAGGTTTATGGGTCTTGACACATGCATAGATTTGTGTAACAGCCACCACAGTCAGGATGCAGAGTCATCCATCACCCCCAAAACCCATGTATCTAACTCCCCTGATCCCAAACCGTGACAACTACTGATCTGTTTTCCATCCTTAGAGTTCTGTCTTCCAGACACCATCACTTAAGCGGAGTCCTGCAGTAACCTTGTGAGACTGACTGCTTGGCTCAGCAAAATGCCTTTGAAACATATCCATGTTATTGATATCAATCATGTATATCATTAGTTCATTCCTTGTTACTGCTGAATAGCATTCCAATGCATAGACTTCTGTGCATGGGCCACGACGTTTCAATCGCACGTGGTATTTTGTGGAAGAGCCACACTCAAGGGGCCAAAGAGCTGCATGTGGCTCTCGAGCCAGTTTGCCGACCACTGGTCTAAGTCTTCTTCTAATCCAGTTTGCTGCGAGATTTTTATCACGAATGGATGTTGACTTGTAACATGCTTTTTATGCATCGATTGATAGGATCATGTGGCTTTCTTTTTTATCCCGTTGCTATGGTGGATTACATTGAATGATTTTTAAATACTGCACTAGCTTTGCATTTCTTAGATCAACGCCACATGGACAGGGGTTATTGTTTCTGTGCATTATTAGATTTGATTTGCTAATATTTTATTGGCCATTCTTACCTCCATGTTCATGAAGGGTATCGGATATTGGTTTGTGGTTTTCTTGTTACTGCCTTTGTCTGTTTTTGGAACCAGGACAGTGCAGGCCTCATAGATGAATTAGGAAGCGTTCCCTCCCCTCCTGTTTTTAAAAAGAGATATGGAGAATCGGTGTTATTTCTTCTTTAAACATTTGGTTGAATTCACCAGTGGGAACATCTGAACCTGGAATTTTCTTTTTCAAAAGATCTTTAACTATAAATTTAACTCCTTTAATAGATATAGCAGTATTCAGGTTATCTACTTCTTTTGGGGTGAGTCTTGGTAGTTTGTGGCTTTCAAAGGATTACTTGGTTTAGGTGGTCGGTAGTTATATTCATCCCCTCTTTCATTCCTCATATTGGCAATTAGATCTTCTCCCTTTTATTCTTTCAGACTAGAGGTTTAGCAATTTTATTGATCTTTTGAAAGGATCAGCTCTTTGTTTCATTGATTTTTTTTCGATTGTTTTTCTGTTTTCAATTTTATTAACTTTCATTCTTTATTATTGCCTTCCATCTGCTTGTTCCATGAAACTTGACAAAAATTAAAGTCATCCGGGATGCTGACCAAAAAATGTATTATTAAATTACAAGATGTATTTTTAAATGTGTCCCTTTGAGAACCAACCTAATCGTTTTCCATATTTGTCTCTTCGCAGTTGACGGGCCTGAGCGTCTCCAATGGGAAGGACCAGCTTGTGGTGTTCCATACGAAAGACAACAAGGACCTCATCGTCTGCCTCTTCAGCAAACAGCCGACCCACGAGAACCGCATCGGAGAACTTGTTGGAGTCCTGGTGAATCATTTCAAGAGGTAACGTTTGATTTTTGTAACTACGACAAGTTTCAAATACGTGAACTCTTTAATCATGATTCTCACTGAACTCGTGTGCCAATTGTAGTGTATTGAGCTCTTTTCCTTCATAAAGACCACTTAAATCACCTGTTTCCCAGGAGGCAAAACGAGCATCCACGCTTAGTTTCAAGACTAGGAATGACCTTTACTTTTCCATCCTCCGGCTCTACCAACAACGAGAGGGTTCCCTAATGGTGATTTCATCACTGCCAATCCAAATGTAATTAAATCAAAAAAGATAGAAAAATGACTTTTTGTCACAGCTTCTCGCTTACCCCAAATACGATCAGCGGGTGTGTCTACTGTGCATATAAACCAAGTAGAAGGTAGGTTTAGAGCAGGGGTGGGCAAACTTTTTGACTCGAGGGCCACAATGGGTTCTTAAACTGGACCGGAGGGCCGGAACAAAAGCATGGATGGAGTGTTTTTTTTTTTTAGTTTTATTCATTTCAAACAGGCCAGATCCGGCCCGCGGGCCGTAGTTTGCCCACAGCTGGTTTAGAGGGACATGTAGGTCCATGACAACTGAAGGAATCCCTGAGAGAGGCAGTAACCTCGACAGAAACGTGGCGTTGTGATGGGACATGGCATCTTCTGAGAACTTCATAGTAAAACGTCGATGTATCTGGGGTATTTATGTGTGTGTGTGTGTTGTGACAATGACGTGAGAAATATAAACAGGGAGAGCCGATCCTGAGGGTGATGGGGACCAGTGAAGTGGTAATTTTAATCAGGGAGTGGTGTTGTCTGGTTCTTTATTGGAGTTGTTTTAGAGGTGTTTTTCTTCCCAGAGGAGGCCATGGGGTATTTAGGGCGGGTGCTTCGCTAACTCCAAAGTCAGGTGTTCTTCCCACGGTGGCAGACTGTCTCTACCTCCCCACCACACTGATGCTGGGAGGCCATTCCTCAAAGCTCGGCGACTGAGACATGAGCCCAATGTCCCGTTCCTTTTCCTCCTAAAAGACGTTTCCTGAGTTGCCAGAAGGAACCAAGTATTCCTTATGAGGATTGTTCATTCTTACGTTTAGACATGGCTTCTATGTCTAAGCAGAGGCATATTTACAATCCGATGTCCACACGTCTAATTCTGCTGTACTAACTTTCATTGGTAAATGTATGGAGTATAATTTTAGAAGTGGGCTGCAAAGACCATTTCTTTTATGTTATTAAACCTTGTATTCTAGATCAAAGTAGATCTTAAAGTATCTTATACAGTTAAATGCTTCTTAATGCTATGACTAAAATAACATTCAATGATTATCTGGGGGGAAAATAAGAATCTAAATAAGGAAATATCAAAAAATAATAATAAACATATGGACCTTTGAAAAACTCCCTTTCATCTACCAAATAGTCATAAAGCTAAGGGGAATACTGAAGAGTTTAGGATGGAGAAGGCATCTCTACAATAAAATTTATAACTCAAATAAGCAGGCTCATTTTCCTCCTAATATTTAGTTATGGCAAAAGATGGGCAATTAAAGGGATTTTAATTTGGATGCCTGTACTAATAAGTAGTTTTTCCTGGGGAATTGAAGTATTTTTGCTCAATCTGGATCTTGTTTAGCAAATTCCAACCCCTGGTACATGCCTCTACATGTTAGATGTGAATCTGGTCCTTGAATCCATCATTGCTTCCTTTCCCCAGCATATGCATTCTCAAATGTATCTCTAGTTGCATTCCCTCAAATCTTTAATACAGGGGGGGCAAAAGCAGGTTTACAGTTGTTCTTTTAGAAAATAATACAATAATAATAAATAAATAATGCAAGAATAAACTCTGTACTCATTACTGTTAACCTACTTTTGCCCCACACTGTATATGTAAGATTTTTGAGTGTCTTTAAAAGTTATAAAGAAAAGGTTGTTGAGTTGTTGAGTTGTTTATTTTTTTTTTATAGTTTTGTGCACGGGTAGGTTCCCTAGGCCTGGCTGGCGATCAAGGCCGATCAGGTTTCCCGCCTCCCTGCCTCTTCCTTCCCTCGCTCCCTCAGGCCCCGCCACCGCCACTGGTTGCCCGCCATGTTCCTTGCCGCCCCCTGGTGGTCATAGTGAGTGATCGAACTCCCGAGGGGACACTTTGCATATTAGCCTTTTATATAAATAGATTTTTGACCTATGAATTAAGAGGTCAAATACCAATAAGAGATCAAAACCCTCCTTCCTGCCCCCAGAAAATTCAGGCTTGGCATTTTGACTGAGGGTTAGAGTCATCAACTTGCTATTGACTTCTTCTTGAGGAAAGGTTAATTTGATTTTTTTTCTACTTTCCTTTATTGTCAACTATCATGTCATTGGTTTGACTTCGAGAAACAGATTGTGTTTTACAAGCATAAGGAGGTGGCACAGAATCATATTTATCTGTGGGTTAATTATGGAAATCCAAAGGAGAGATGGATTTAATTTCAGATCAATCCTTTATCTTTCAGATAATTTCCTTAAAGTACATTCCGAGAACTTCTCTAATTAGAAGTTATGAGGAAAGGGCTCAAAATAAAACATGCTATTGATAGACTAGATGTGAAAAGGAGTCATTGTCTTGAAAAATTATAAAGGACAAGGATTAGGACATAAAGTCTATGAGCGAAATTTCTGCCAAGTTTCAGAGAGAAGAGGAGAAGTAAAAAGTTTGGAAACGAGTTTAGACCAGCACAACACTATATCTAAAACAGGTAAAGATAATACAAGAAAAGAAAATTGTAGTCCAATCTCATGTCAATGCAGAGATTTTTTTTTAATCCTAAATAAAATGCCCAAAAATTGGATCTAAGAGTTTTTTAAAAGAAAAATGTATCACGACCAGTGAGGCTGTATTCTAAGAATATAAGGGTGGCTATCCATTAGAAAGGTGTATTAATCTATTCATATATAATAGTTCTCAAAAAAAAACCAAAAATACTATTTGATAAAATTTAATACTCCTTATAAGTAAGGATATGTTAATGAAGTTAAATAGGTTTCTTTACTGCAGTAATTCTCAGAGCCTTTGATATGCCTCTGTTTGTTTTAAATACAATAAGGGTATGTACTAAGGGTATGTACTTGTGTGTGTATGTATACACACACACATACCCATACACACACACACACACACATATATAGAGTGAGTATATATAGTGCCAAATATATATATATATACACTTTAACAACTGATTCTATTACATTTTGAAAATGAAATGTATTTTAATAAACACTGCCTTTATAATTATTAAAAGTGTGTATACATATTTTGGGATACACATATGATTGTGTATATTATACACTATTTCTGGAAAAATATGCATGAAATGGGTAACAATGTTTGTCTCTGAAGAGGGATTGGGGAGATGGGGTGCTGGGACAAAGAGGTAGGAGGGAGATTTATTTATTTTTCATTGTAAGTGTTTTGCAGTAAATATATGTTACTTATCGAAATTTTTTTTCAGTTTAACAATAAACAAATGGCAGCTAGTTTTGCGGCCTATTATTGATGGCTTTAAAGTCATGGTTATTTTCCTTTCCTGTGTAGAAAAGCAGCAGAGAACAAAAGTGCTTTCTAACAGAGTGATCCGTCGCATGGCATTCGAATACCTTGATATAAAGCCAAGTAAAGCCTCCTGGAATATCACTGTTCTGTATGGTCCCATTGTACACGGCACGCGGGGCCGAGCGGGTTTCCTTCCCGGGGTGGTCGGGCCAGCGGTCTGCCGGGCCAGTGTGCTTTGCAGAGGTTCCGAAATGGCTGACTTGACTTTTGTATTGCCTCCCAGCAGTGACTACCTGCTGGTAATGAGCTTTCCTGCCCATTAGCAACCAGATGGGCTGACACTGGCTGCCCTAACGAGGGAGTCACCAGGAACTGCGATATTCGGCTGTCAAAGGACCCATCTGCCTTCTGCAGCTGCCCAGGCATTTGCCTGTCTGGATGCTGGAAACCTCAGCATAGCCCCAGTCTCGGGCATTGGAACTTATTTTTCCTGTTCTGTGTCTGTGGAGGAAAGCCAGAAGTCAGTGCCATCTGCTTCTTGTTTTTCGTAGGCAGTTTCCTGAATATCTGCTTAGTGAAAAAAGGAGCCCCATTACTGAGTTTAACTGAACACTTGACCTGTTTCTCTGTTATATTTTGCTAATGTTCTTTTTAACTCACGGGTAGACGCAGATCGATAAGCCGGCCATTGGTTGCAGCCGGGAGAATACAGAGGTCAGGGGAGAAGAGGTTTCCTGGCCAGCGGTGGAGGAAGCAGAGGAGGGAGGCACCTCCCAAAGGCCTCTGCTCCTGCCCCCCTCCCGTCCCCCCGCAGCACCGCTGCTCTCTCCCCCTTCCTGCCGCTGCCATGTGGGTCTCCGCTCCTCTGTCCCTGACCCTGAATGCAGGTTTCCACAGCCCTCGATCTGTAGTCCCAAACTGCTCTCCTTAAATACCTGGCTACTAATCATAGTTTAAATTCCAGCTGAAAATATAGAAGTAAAATAAGGATAGGCTGAAAATAATGTAGGCAGCCAACAGCAGAGGTTTGGTTCATTAAATTATGGTCCATCTCCTTAATGGGGTATTTGAACCATTTAAAATTATAATTTTTTTCTTTTTTAAAAAAATATATTTTTATTGATTTCAGAGAGGAAGGGGGAAGGAGAGAGAGAGAAACATCAATGATGAGAGAGAATCATTGATCGGCTGCCTCCTGCACACCCCTCACTGGGGATCAAGGCCACAACCCGGGCATGTGCCCTGATCAGGAATCAAACCATGATCTTCTGGTTCATAGATCAATGCTCAACCACTGAGCCACACCGGCTGGGCTAAAATTGTAATTATTGAAGGCATCTGATTTGTGGTGACAGCAATTCACCCTCCTCTGCCTCCCAGTAGAGGTACACATGAAAACACAGAAAGAGGTGCCAACTTTTCATAGAGATGGAAGCAGAGGTCCCCCCCACCCTAGCATACAACATACCCATGGCTCTTCAAGTCTGTAGTT